TTCGGTGACTTTTATTCTCGAACCTGTGTGCTCAAGTTTTTGTGGGGTTACAAACGTGTAAGGAATGAGAAGGGGGTGTTAGAGGCCCGGTCGGACTCTGATCTGAGTGGAAGAGAGTGATGGATGCTTAAACGTGCGCTAAGTATTGGAGCGTATGCTCTGTGTGTCCAAGCTTATCCGCTGTTGAGAGCGTGTAGATTGTGTCCTTTTAGAAGGGAGCGCATCCCTTTTTATAGATGAAGGGGATGGCCTTACAAATCAAAGATGGAAAGGGAAAGAGTGTGTACGGGTGCTACCTAGTCTTGTCGCCCACGCCATCGGGTACGGCATGCCATCGCTCGCCATACTATTTTCGCCACCATCGCCACCTTACTGTTCATGACCTGTTGTACCTGGCAGGCTGCACAATGTTCGCCTAGGATGGCAAACGACGGCGCCCACAATACTGTTTGTGTTCTGACGCGTCTAGCAGGCTGTATAGTGTCCGTCTGACATGGTCTGACGGCACCGTCCTACAGGTGCGCAGGGCATGGCAGGGTACGGTCCTCGGTATTACGGTTGACTTGAGCGCCTTACCTTATCTGCTATGCATGCTCCCCGGACCCACACCGAGCAGGAGTCCTGTTCGGTCGTTTCCTTTCGGCCCCGATCGTGTCGGTTGGGAAAGAGAGGCGACCAAAGGTCCGGCATATCCTCAGTCGGAGGAACGGGGTCGGAGTCGGACTGCGGTCCCACCACGGCCAGGCCTTCTGGTCGGGGCTCCGACCAAGTCTCCTGGCCGGAGGTGCCGGTCGGGGACTAGATCGTGGTCTTGGCCTATCATTGTGTATCTGGGTCGACCCAGACGCGCGCTGTCGCTGCACCACCTGCTAAGCCAAGTATTGCAAGGAAGCAGGTCTATTTGAGACCCCGAGTTTATGAAGCGGGACACTCTGATTACTCAAAGCTCACACGCAAGCTCCCCTTCATCGCCACCTTACCTGCTTCGTCCTAAACGAACAAAAGTGTCTGCAATGTGGTACGGTGCAGGTATGTACGGAGTACTCACAAAGAAACATCTGTCCAAATTGACAGGTAGCAAAAAAAAACACTTCTGAGCGTGTTTAGTTCCCTGAATTTGAAAATTTGGGTACTGTAGCACATTCGTTTTTATTTGGCAAATAGTGTTCAATCATGGACTAATTAGGCTCAAAACGTTCGTCTCGCAATTTCCAACCAAACTGTGCAATTAGTTTTTTTTGTCTACATTTAATGCTCCATGCACATATCGCAAGATTCGATGTGATGGGTACTGTAGCACGTTTTTAGATTTTGAGGTAGCAACTAAACACGCGCTCTATATTGTTGAGGTGAAGCTTGTTCACCACTTAAACACGTAGCCTATGACAGCCAACACCAACGTCGACACCCCGGAGTTTCACACGATGAAGCGGGAGCTGCTAGCTGTAGAACTTTTCAACAGGAATGATGTGTTCGTGTTGTGCTGGTACAGCGGCAGCGGTAGCACGGCACGGCACCGTCCAGGGATGATGCGCTCGTGTTGTGCCGTTGTGGACTGTCCTTTGCGCCACCACCATCACAAACGCAACACACACTCACTCAGACTCGGCAGAGAGAGGAGAAAGATTCGCGCAGTCGTCGCTCTGTGTGGACTGTGGCCGCACGTAGGACGTGTACGTCTATTGTCGCGCGTCACTGCGGCAGTTGCGCGAAATGATGAGGCGCGCGGCGCGGTGTGCAGACGGGTCAGGCAGCCGGACGCGGCCGATGATCATCAGCAAGGCAACCACGGCCAGGGGGCAGAGGCCGAATTGATGTGCACCGGACAATGCAGGCCGGAGGGGGGGGGGACTGCTGCGATGCGATTCGTCACTGGTCAGATGTGACTGCTATGCGATGAGGTGAGGTGCTGCGATGCGATGCAAGGGTCGGAGCGCGCGCGCGCGTGACGCCTCCGTACGTCGCAGGCGTCGCCGCGTCGCAATTCGCATCGTCGGCCTCCGCAGCCCGCACGGTCAGGGGCTCAGGGCAGGGGTCCGGCCGGTCCACGTGAGCCGCCTCTGATGCTCGCGCTGCCAACTGCCATGCAGCCGTGCATATACGCCTGCCTGCCTGCCACTGCCAGCGTGATGTGGTGCCCCGTGCCCATGCATCGTGCATGCATGCACGCGCTCTGATGCCGCCGGTGAAGCCTGGGCGCCTGGCGCCCCGGCCGCTGCTGTGTGCTGTCTCGGCACGGCAGTCGTCGGCGTCGGCAAGGCATGCATGCAGCTTTTTTTCCCTGGCTGGCTCCTCCGGGACAGCGCGCACGTTTGCTTCACCGTTTTGTCGTGGCCCGTGCGGGGTTTTGGCGGTTCCGCGGTGGAGTCCGCCTGCCTGACCATGGCATGGCTGCCGCTGTGCAGGGGCAGAGTTGACGGCGAGCTTACCACATTCCAACGAACCCTGCTGAATGATTGAATGTCCTAGTACTCTGATTGATTTCAGCCAAGACTTATCAACCAACCAATATCAGTTCAGAAACCAACCAACGAACAGACTTATTATGTGTAATACTACAGGACAATAACCTTTGCCCTTCCTAAAAATAGCATCCTGAACTTTTTGAATCGAAAAAATCTGGAATTAAAGGCATCTTTATCTGGAAACACCGGCACGACGTTGTGTTCCGGGGCCAGCAACCTTGTATAACGCGGCTGCTCGCCGCCTGCCGGGAAGACTGTCTTCTGTGGCGATGCCGCCTCCCGTCTCACCTAGTCCAGCAAGCGCTGAAATGGAGTGACTTGTTTGACAGGAGTAGAACTCAGTTGATTATGTAATCTCCTCTTCTCCTGTGACGGGCCATAGTCCCCGAAATGTTTTGTAACTTAGGGCTTGTTTAGTTCCCAAAATTTTTTACCCCAAAGTGTCACATCGAATCTTGCGGCATATGCATGGAGTACTAAATGTAGACGAAAAAAAATTAATTGCACAGTTGGGTGAGAAATCGTGAGACAAAACTTTCGAACCTAATTAGTCCATAATTAGATACTAATTACCAAATACAAACGAAAGTGCTACAGTAGCCAAATAATAGCCAAACCCAAAAAAATTTGGGAACTAAACGCGCCTTAAACTGCATTTGTTGTGCTCTGGCACCTCCATCTACCGGCTTAGTCCCGGAACAATGGAAAATCATTCGAGTGAGGCGTTTACCCCTCCAGGGCTTCTTAAAAAAGTGGGCATGGTCGTTGCCCTTATGTAAGCTACAACTGTCCAATGGCTTCTGAATCCTTAAGACTAGTTTGAATCCAGATGCTAACAGTTAGCATCTAGCATCTAGCATCTAGCAAAGGAGAAGCTAGCTAGTAGTAGCTTTTTTATTAGCTGGACTCTATTTGTATCCTGTAGTTTAGGACGCCTTCAGTGCTGTGGTAAAATCGCTAGCTGATTTGGCAGTGAGTATAGAAATAGAAATAAAAAAGAGAACCTCCAACTGCATAATACATATAAAAGGAAGTTTTTTCTTGACAAGTACTCAAATATATTATCATTACAATCAGAGTACAAACTTTTGGGAGTCCATGTCCCAAAGACAAACTTGTAGCTCTAAAGCTACGACAAGAGAACTTTCACAGACATTCATAGAAAAGAGCTCGCCTATATCAGCATACACTGATCTTGCGTGAAGAAAACTGCACTTCTGCTGATGCAAAAAACAGGTGATGTCTCCACCGGGGACGTTGGGCCTTAGGAGAGAAGTGGCCACGATAAAGACATCGGTGATCCTCATTCTCGCACTCGACGTTCCCCCTCGACTGTCTGACCGATAATATAAGAGGAAGTTGGACAGAGAGATAGAGCTAGAGGAGTTTATTGGGAGTGATGTTTTTTTTATTCTCTATTTCATGTTGGGAAAAAAGGTTGACTATTTCGACAGTTATTGGGGATGCCTTTACAGTTACTACTAGTAGTATTTAGCTTGGGGAACAGTCAATACCTTTTTAAATTGGGTAGTTCATTCTGAGCTATTAGCTCCACTAGTGCTACTTTTAGCTGCTAAGCCACTAATAATTAGCAGCTTGGATCCAAATGGCCTCTTAATGTAACATTAAGTAACAATGAATGAAACTTTACAATAAGAATAGTTTTCAAATACTTTTGACATTTTGCAACAAGAAAAAATATTTATATAAGCAGAGGAAGCATTTTGAAATTAAGGAATCAGATGTACTAAATTTAGTAACATGAAAGCATGATTTCAACACTAAGGGTTTTTTACTTGTGATTTCAAATACGTACTCCCTATTAATAACATTCTTCAGACAAGTCATTGGCCTTGTAATAACATTCTTCAGATAGGTCATCATGCACTTATTGAACAAATAAGTTTGATGCGACAGCAATAACTCTAGAGAGAGAAAAGATTTATATAAGCACAAAGAGCATGTTGAATAAATTAAGGAATCAGATGTCCTAAATTTAGTGACACGTGACACTTTTTAAGCGTGGTTTCAGGACTAAGGTTTTTCCCCCCTAGTGCTTTGGTTCGAATACTCGCTATAACATTCTTCAGATAATGAGAAAACAATTTTGATGCAGAAAACTTTTGAGAGAAAAGATTTATATAAGCGGAGAGAGCATGTTAAATTAAGGAATTAGACATGTCCCAAAAAAACAATTGACGACTCTGTCCAAAAACCAACAATTGATGATTCCACACAGTGGCGGATGTAGGATGGGGATAAAGGAGGGGCTAAATAATAAAGATTTAGGGATAGAATTAGAGATTAATGGTGATTTAAGGCTAAATAACCGTGGTCTAATGAAAAAAATCAGGCTCACTAGGGCTATAGCCTCGGCAGCCCCCCTTGGATCCGCCCTTGATTCCACATAACTTTGGTTCAAATCCTATCTAAAATTACTAGAACATGATGAGGTAGCAAGAAACAATCGTACCCGGTGCCCCGATGCGTGCTTTTCAGTCTCGATCGGCGTCGTCGTGCGCGTTCGCGTTTCGTTCAATCCCTTGTCCACAATAGCCAAAGCGCCACTGCACCCCTCAGCTCCAGAAACTTTCTTGCATAACTCTCGTCACGCGCCACCACCTCCTCACCAGCCACTTCTTCCTCCTCGCCCTCGCCCTCGTCAAGAAGCAGCAGCACCAGCCCGAGCGCGCCATCCGGGTGGCCGGGCTCCTCCTCGCCGTCGTCGTCCTTGACCTCGGGCAGCAGCGCGCGTGAGCGAAACGCCCATAGCTTAACCGTTACGCGCCGTGTCAAGTGAGCTTCTTTGGCTATCGTCAGATGGTGAGCCTGCCGGAAATTCTTCCACCCCGGCCCCATGAACCGGTAGTGCTTGTCTCTCCATAACTTGCACGTCATCTCGTACTGCTGGCCCCGGTGATCGAACGCCGTGACCGACATGCCGCCCGAGGTCCTGACCCGGACCTTCTCGGCGTCCGTGAAGATCTGAGAGATTGGCTCCGCCTGGGGAACTGCAGCCGGTTCTGGTCGTCTCTGACGTCGGTAGACTGGAGCCGCTTCATGTCGACGAACCATGGGGCCGACGCGCGGGTCTCGGACAAGCGGGCGAGTAGCACGTCGCTGAACTCGAAGCGATTATGGTCGTGGCATGCCCCCTCCGCATTTCCCTCCGTCGTCGTCGTTGCCGCCGGCGGCAGAGACGACGTTTCGCTCGCTTCCTCCTCATTGTCCTTGTCGTGACTGCTTCCTGATCCTTGTCGTTGATCGTGGTAATCGTCGTAGCTAGAGCATCGCCGCTGTCTCTCGGCTCCCTCCCTCTCATCACGTCATGCATTAGTTTTTCCGCCGGTGGCTGGTACGACCGCATCCATATAGAGCGATGTGGTCGTATCGTAGTAGATGCAGATACTCAATCGCGATTGGCAGCTTGGGTTACGGCAAAATCAATACGGAGTACGGCACAATCTGTGGATGATGATGATATCATTAAATGGAACAGCCTGAGGATTGATTATGGGAGAGCTCGGCAATGGTTGGAAATATGGTTATGGGGGAAATCTTTTTCTTCGACGGGGGTATCTGTAACACGAAGCCAGCTTGAATGCGGGGTATCCTTGTTCCGTACGGTTGTTCCGTACGGAAAATTGGCAGGGTGGATGGTGGGTGGCATGATCCAAGTCTTCAAGGAAAGACGGGTCAGATCTCAGATTAGATTGGGCTTTCGTTGGGTCTTCAGCCTCATCAGGCCAGCCTTATAGTTTGGGCCGCAATTATTTGGGCATGTGGCGGAAAAAGTCACTTTTACCCTGAACTATGGTGGTGGTTTAATTTTTCCTCCGGGGTTTTTTTTTTCGACCACGGAGATTCATTCATCAATTATAAGGAGGGTTACAATCTGAAGACAGCAGGCCAGAGACACAAGCCGGGGCAATAGACCACCACCCGACCCGAGTTTCGCATGTGACCTGTTTCGCTAAAGCATGTGCTACCCTATTACAAGAACGAGAAGGAAAAGAAAATTTAAACTCTTGGAACAGGGTGCTCAACTCCTTAATCTCCTTCAGGATGGACATCACGCTAGATCTCTGCTGATCCCTTACTTGCCAAAGCCGGACCACCTCCTGACAGTCAGATTCTAGCCAAACTTTCTGAATTCCCAACTGCAGTGCCATAGCCAGGCCATCCCGGCAAGCTAGCGCTTCCATGGTAAGTGCGTCCAGGCAATGCTCATACCATTTGGCAATCCCCCTGACAAAGACGCCACTGTCATCACGTAGAACAACACCTGTTGCACCTTTCCATTGCTGATCATAAAAGGCTCCATCAGCATTGCATTTGAACCATTCCAATGGTGGTCGTTCCCAGCAGGGTTCAGATCTCGCTGTTGCCGGCTCTCCTGGGGATTCCATAAGCTGTCCCAAATCTAAGGCCAAGTCAACAGCCCACTGCACAGCCACTCGGATCGGCATAGCTTGCTCTCTATGTCTTCGCTTGTTTCGTTGCATCCAGAATGAGTACATGCCAATAAGAAATATTGCCTGATCTTGCTCACGTCCGGTCCTCCTTCTATCAGGTCCTCCGCCCAGGTTTCAGGGTGCATGCTTGGAAGTTTAACCTGTGATAGTTCTCGTTTGCTCCTAGAAGGCCCGGGCGACCGAGCACTCAATCAGCACGTGTCGTATAGATTCTTGCTCCGCCCCGCAAACTTCACAATTCGCAATCTGTTCCACATGTTTACGATGTAAGATCTGTCGGGTCGGGAGAAATTCATGAATAATGCGCCACCAGAAAACCTTGATTTTTGGCGGCACTTTCAGTTTCCAAACTTTCTGCCAAATTTTGTTTCCTGAAGCACTCGCCACTTGCACTCTGCCAACTTTCATTCCGGTGGATGCAGCGGCTATTTTGTGCACGCCGGCTCGGATTCAGAATGAAGACGTTTGGGCATGGGAGCCTAAAAAGCATGGAGTGTACTCCGTCAGATCTGCCTATAGGCTCCTTGACATGGTGAGAATCAGAGAGAATGAAGTGCAATTTTTCCTCCGTTGTGAACAATAAAAACAAACATTTTACTCCATCAACTCTCATATCGATCAAAAATCAAGCATTCGAATTATTGCAAGATTACAAGCGATTCAGCTTTTGGAAAAGAAACCTCCAACACCCGAAATATGTTCCTCCGAGGCGTCCTCTTGGGGCGACGATGGGGTGGGTATTGGAATAAGGTCTCTCCGGCTTCTTCTTACCTTAACGAGGTTCGATCTGACGTCGGTGAAGGGCAGTGAGAGCATGGTTGTCAAATCTGTTGTTTCTCTTCAGATCCTAACTGGGAGCAGTTGACTGACTTTAGATCCTAGCACGTCGTTGAACTCGAAGCCATTATGGTCATGGCATGCCCCCTCCTTTCCCTCCGTCGTTGCCGCCAGCGGCGGGGACGACGTTTCGCTCGCTTCCCCATTGTCCTTGGCGTGCTGCTTCCTGATCCTTCGTCTTCGTAGCCAGATCATCGTCGCTGTTCCTTGTGCTCACCGCCGGTCTTCGGCTCCGAGCGCTCGGACCATCGGACGGTGCTGACCATCGTCCGTACGTGAGCGGAGAGGTGGCCAGGTGGGGGATTTGTGGTTTTTATTGGGCCGTTTAACTTTTTAGTGGGCCGAAGATGATTTTTTAGGATATACTAATAAAATGTAGTACGTGAGTGGCATAAGTTTGCATTGACTTTCCTTTTTTTTCTTGTATCTTACACGTGTCCATGCATTATACGAAACCTAATATATATTGAAATCGGACTCTGCATATGTATTGTCTGTGTGTTTAAATTATGAAAGCAGAATTTAAATTCAAATTAAAATTAAATGGCGAGAAACTATTTTAAAAACTAGAAAATCATTAACGGAGGCTAGCAAGTAATAAACTCGACGTCTCCGTTAATCCTTTAATGGAGGCGGATGACTTAGCATAGCTGCCTCGATTAATAGATTAACAAAGGTGTCTTTGCTTAGGGTGACCGCCTCCGTTAATTAATGAGAGACGGCACCTTCCGTTAATCGATTAACCGAGGCCGGTAACCGTAGGTCTGCATTAACGCAGACCTTTCGACGAAGCGAATGCTTTGCCCACCTCCGTTAACTCATTTCACCCGCCTGAGATAAGATTTGTATAGTAGTGTAGATTGAACGATGAGAAAATCAAAGAAACTATTTAGAGCTCATGAAAAAATTGCTAGAAGCTTCAAATAAATAGATTAAGGTCAAGGAAGAAGAAATTAAATTCCATAAATTAGTTGAAAAAATTCTTAGAAAGAGATATTCGCCTCTTAAATGTATTTTACAACATTTTGCACATAAACACTTGTTGAAACTGGCATGAATGCAACAAACCTTTTCAAACACACATTAAATGACCTAGACTAACCTCAGACAGAAATGGCATCCAGCCTCGGAATACACCAGGCAACTGCTAGACCGAAGCTAGACACACGGCCACAGTATCTAGCAGATGTTTCCATAGACGAGCGCACAATTACCCCTATGAGCATACGTACGCACATCATGTCTCTATGAGCACCTCTGAAGAATTGAGTTGGACCGATAAACCTCAAGATTGACGAAGTCAGCATAAACGTACTTCTACGCACTTCTGACCCATTCTACACTTAGAGCCCGTTTGGCCGGGCTCCGAGTGACTCTGGCTCCTCTGACTCCTCCTCTGTGTCATCTCCTGTAGCGACACTGTTCACCGGAGCTATTTTTCTCTCTCCTCCTTTCCTTTCTCACTTGTGAAGGCTGGGAGCCGAGAAGCTCGTTTTTTTAGCTCCTCCGGCTCCAGCTCCTACGCGCTACAGTTACGCTACAGTGTGGGAGCCAGAGCCGGCGGGAGCCCGACCAAACACACCCTTAAGCAAGCTCCTTACCTCCATAAATAATTGAGCATTGCCACCTCATAAATGAGCACGGGAGTTAGGGGTGGATGTGTGTGATGATTTGGGAGGCAAGCAGGTTTAAGGTCTCGTTAAACCATTGAAAAAATAAGCCAAAATCTTTGTCCGGGCTGATTTGTTGTGAGAGAAAAATCTTTGTTTGATTGAAAAAAAATAATTTGAAAAGTACGGATTATAAGACAATTAACAGGACCTTGTCTCTATCACTGATATGTTTTTAGAAATTATCCTCGGTATCCATCTAAGCATGAAGTAACCTGGGCATGTTACCGTACTCACTTTAAGAAAAGTTTGAAGTTAATGAAAGAGTGTTATTTAAATACCTCCTCTGGAGTGGTCGGAGTTTGAGTCCTGAGGAACTAACTCTTTATTTGTGGTTTCGGCCACAGAGACCAGGGAAAAAAAAACTCTCTCGTCTGCCTCACATCAAAACATAGGTCTATGGCCACCTTATCTCACGGCGCTATGGTGCCGCTGTATTTGGGTGGGGTACGGGTTCAGGGGTTTTCTCGGTCTGCATGAGAAAATCTTCTAAACCAGAATACCCAGGCTGTCTAGCCACCGCATACGATCGAAGTTTTTTTTAAGTAACTCACATGACTACTATATTATCCAAAGTTACAAATGGACTGAACTTATTCTCATCTCTGCACCCTGAGTATAAATACCCCCATCACTCATTGCTAGTTGCTACCCTCCCTAGGCAGGAACCACCAAACCAAGCGAGCTGCAATAAGGAAAGTTAAATGTGCCCTTGAGGGCATGTCCTTCTATGTCTTGTGTGTCGTTGATTCGCATTGAGATGTATGTACACACATCTCAATGCGAGAGATATATTTATGTGCACACATCTCAATATGAGTTCAATGGTGGGTGTGCTGGGAGCACATGCCCTTGAGGGGGAAAAACGCCTCAGCCAACAAGAGTGTTTCACGGTATCACTCAGAGATGCGCAGTCCGTGGTGAATGCCGCACTGCTCCTGCTCCTGCTCCTATTCGGGGTGTTGTTCGTGTTCGCTGTCAGAGGGGGTGGCGAGAACGGGTAAGTTATTTAACATAGTTTACTAGTTTACTTTATCAGCAGATGGCCAATCATACTTTTACTTTTTTTTATTTTTTTCGACCAATACTTTTCTTTAATTGAATAGTTTATTTAAGCGTTCAACATCTTCAGTAGATTAGTGACCATTATTTATCAGACTATAGGCCAAGGCACTTTTGCATTGCACAGCTACGAATTATATGATTGGAAACAGTGAGAACTAATTAATTCATAAGAGTACCAAAAGGTGTGTTATAAATATAATGTCAGTTGTTCGGTAGGTATTAAAGCCGGGTGATAAGTAAATTTGAAGCTGATTTTTTATGAGAGAAAATACTGTAGATTCTAAATGATAAGTTCGGCTGTTAGTTTGGTGGCTAACTCTTCTGGTTTTGTACCACGTTTGATTCCATTTGTTAGTTTGGTGGCTAGCTAACTGGAGGTTCAATTCACCTGATGATACCATTTTCAGGACGGATGTTTGGCAGGCAGAGAAGACAACCGTGACCGTGACGTTGGACGTTAGTCTCGGCGTGCAGCAATACAAGTCCACTGTGTCGCAGATCGAGCGCCAGGCGGCGTTCACGACGACCAATCCGCACATTGAGAAAAGGCCGGTCCTCGGCCAGCAGAAGGCTAAACCTGACAATTGGATCCACGGCCACATCACCTCAAGGGGCAGGGCGCAGTACAGGTATGCGTTCAAGAATAAGGATCTTCTGATCGAAGGGTCGACTTTGCTCGGGTTCACCGATGAGTACAAGTCACTTACAGGTGGCGTCAAGCCCTCCTACCGCCGCTGATCCCATGGAACCCCTAGAGCTCTACCAAGAGTTTTTTTTTTGTCATGATTGCTTTAAGGAGAAGGGGCTGGAGGTTGAAGATGAACTTTTAGCTCCCCTCAATTTTCATCCTAGTCCGTCATTGTTCGTCATCCGTGCAGACATCGCTGAAACATTGGAGAAGAGAGGCACCGTTGGCAGCACCGGCGTCGAGCTCACCGTCAAATGGAATACAATCTCATGCGTCCTGCTCCAGTGGAGCAAGACAAAGAAATGGGACTCTGATGAAGGCAAAATAATCAATAATTATGGGAATCCAAGATAGAGAATGCAGCGGCCGCGGTTGCGAATGTGTTCTGCATACTTCAGGTCTCCAGGTGCTCATCAGTTACCTACTAGCTAGCCACCCCCATGTCTCTGTTGACAACCTAATTGCTTGATACTTATTGTTTGGCAGTGATATTCTGCAATAAAAATATGATTATAAATAATATTATCATAAATGTCTGAACACACGAAAAAAACTTATTATCCCTTTATGTTGCCCCTTTTTTTTTCAAATGCAACCATGCATGAATGTGTTGGTTTGGAACTGCCGTGGGTTGGGGAACTCACGAACAGTTCAAGAATTGTGCGGCTTTGTCCAGTCGTACTCACCCAAGTTAGTCTTTTTGTCAGAAACAAGAATGCATACGTCTCGTGCTA